CAAAACTACTATAGACACCAGGTGTGATATATTGTCAGGACAAAATACAAAACTACTATAGACACCAGATGTGATATTTTATCAGGACAAAACTACTATAGACACCAGGTGTGATATTTTATCAGGACAAAATACAAAACTACTATAGACACCAGGTGTGATATTTTATCAGGACAAAATACAAAACTACTATAGACACCAGGTGTGATATTTTATCAGGGCAAAATACAAAACCACTATAATCACCAAGTGTGATATTTTATCAGGACAAAATATAAACTACTGCGGACACCAGGTGTGATATTTTATCAGGGCAGTTGGTCTAAAACACTCTCATCCTTCGCCAGCTGAGATATTTCTTTGTGACTCATAGCGGCTTACCGATAAGCTTGAGGGCTTAGAATGCTGAATTTCAAGGTTAGATCCCTGCGGTGGGCACAGCTCGGATGGCACATGGTGCAGTTTTGCATTTTGTGCAAACAGAAGTAAAAGACTATAATGACAAACTCTCTACTTAATTTCATCCAGGTTAATAAATCCACAGCCAAGAGGACTTCCTCTCAGTTCCACAGCCAAGAGGACTTCCTCTCAGTTACACAGCCAAGAGGACTTCCTCTCAGTCCCACAGCCAAGAGGACTTCCTCTCAGTTACACAGCCAAGAGGACTTCCTCTCAGTTCCACAGCCAAGAGGACTTCCTCTCAGTTACACAGCCAAGAGGACTTCCTCTCAGTTCATTTCCAAATTCATTTCTTTCAGAAGTTAACAAAGTTTATGCTGTATTTGTTTGTTAATTATTTACGATTAACTTGTGACTCTTAACTCTAACTAGAATAAATACCACTTGAACAACAAAAAAGAGGTAATAAACACGCAGCTTGGAAACAACCAAGGAGATATATATTAAAGTAGGTTTTCTATAATTAATTCTCGAGTGACCATACAAATAGTCTAATATCATGAAAGTGAATAGTATGTCTTCACGACATGTCAATAACTTTTGTAAAACAACCTAAGTGAAAAAAGAAAATTAGCCAATAACATTTTCATCTCGCAACTCTGACTAAAAACGTCAACCATTTGTCATCTAACTAATCTACGGTATCTGATTGGTTCATTAAACAATAGTAATAAGTTTCTGATTTCTACATTACATAAAACTAGCTGGACTACCCGTTCCCTGGACGGAAGTTATGTACATTCATGATTAATGAAAGGTTAATGCTTCCCTTATGCTCTTCATGCCAAGTTTCGTGAAGATCCACCTACAGGAGGTGAGCTAGTGTTAAAAACGCCTATAAAAACCTCAAAACGCAAAATACAAAACTGAAAATTTGTATGTATTCACGCATGGACCTAATGAACCTCCACACCAATTTTGGTGAAGATCCATCCACATGGACAGACAACAGACAGTACTATTATATTTTTATATAGATACTGTTCAGTTCGTCATCTGTTGTATATCATAACTTGTTAAAAGTATAAGATGCAGCAGTGTAGTAAGTCTTCATAAGTAAGAACGAAATAACAGTATAAGATGTAACAATGTACTATAAGTCTTCATAAGTAAGAACGAAATAACAGTATAAGATGTAACAATGCACTCTAAGTCTTCATAAGTAAGAACAAATAACAGTATAAGATGTAACAATGCACTCTAAGTCTTCATAAGTAAGAACGAAATAACAGTATAAGATACAATAATGTACTATAAGTCTTCATAAGTAAGAACGAAATAACAGAATAAGATGCAACAATGTACTATAAGTCTTCATAAGTAAGAACGAAATAACAGAATAAGATGCAAAAATGCACTCTAAGTCTTCATAAGTAAGAACGAAATAACAGTATAAGATGTAACAATGCACTCTAAGTCTTCATAAGTAAGAACAAATAACAGTATAAGATGTAACAATGCACTCTAAGTCTTCATAAGTAAGAACGAAATAACAGTATAAGATGCAACAATGCACTATAAGTCTTCATAAGTAAGAACGAAATAACAGAATAAGATGCAAAAATGCACTCTAAGTCTTCATAAGTAAGAACGAAATAACAGTATAAGATACAATAATGTACTATAAGTCTTCATAAGTAAGAACAAAACAATAATATATTTCATTAGCTATACTCATTACCGTGTAGATTTGTATTTTTATTTTTCATCTCAGTAAGTAGCATCCCCGGACCAGAAGTATATAATAATAACTTTATTAGCTACAAAGAAAAAAGATTATAAATGACGTTCTAATACGTTGGCAACTAACAGTTCTAGTTAAATATAAGTTTCGTTTAGCAGCATTAAGATATGTTAACAGTCGAGATATAATCTTGGACAACATTCAAACTAAGTCGCTACAAAAATTATTCATGACTCGTGTTCACGTTACCAAATACTTAACAATACTTATCTTTTAACAAATACGTACAACACTTACTCCTAGTTACGTTTAACACATGTGTAGCAATATTCACTCCTGTTTACGTTTACAAAATATGTGGAAGTATTTAAAGCTACTTTCATTTACTAACTATGGTTTGTTTGTAGTTAAGGCACAAAGCTGCACAATGGGTTATCTGTGCTGTGTCCACCACGAGTATCGAAACCCGATTATGAGCGTTAAAAGCCTTCAGACTTATCGCTGAGCCACTGGGGGATCACAAGTACGAAATATATTTTCAAAACTTTGAACAGAATGTATTGTTTAAGCTCAACCATTCCTCTTCAGTCTTCTTGCATATAAAATTCCAATTTATATATGTTATATGATATTAAAAAAAGTCAATGATCATCACATCCGAACGAAAATGAACAGATATTTTCCATGTCTGACCACCCGCATACGTGAAAACATTAGTGGTTATATTTTTCTAAGTATATGCAACCAGCAAGTATAAATCGTTACTTACCACAAATAAGGTTGCGTAAAAATACAACATGTGCCTGATACTTTTATAACCCTCTTCGTTAAAGAATATATAGAGCATCAAAGACACGATAGTACCTAGAAATCACATTCTGGCCAACTATATTATTCTTAACCTAGTGGCCCGGCATGGCCAAGTGGTTAGGGCGCTCGACTCGCAATCTGAGGGTCGCGGGTTCGAATCCCCGTCCCACCAAACATGCTCGCCCTTTCAGCCGCGGGGGCGTTATAATGTGACGGCCAGTCCCACAATTCGTTGGTAAAAGAGTAGCCCAAGAGTTGGCGGTGGGTGGTGATGACTAGCTGCCTTCCCTCTAGTCTTACACTGCTAAATTATGGATGGCTAGCGC